ACCCGTCCCTCCTGGCAACGTGTCCAAAGTATGTCAGACGAAGCCCCAGATGATGATGATGATGATGATGATTTCATTTCAGGTTTCTTCTTAGCAAGTTCAGATCAGCAACTAAAGGAGAAATTGTAACCACAAAAACTGAAGGTGGGCGGAGCTACAGCTTGGACTTAGAGAGTCAAAATGTGAAAAGTTTAAAGTCAGTTCTGAGTTCAGACAGGTAAGAGATATACATATTGAGTAATTATTTTGACCGGGGATAAGGTTGTTGTGTTTCAAATGAACCAGAAGTGACTGATGCCTGCAAATTATTCTGAATTGGAGAACCCTAAATACCCAATGTGAAAAATAAGGAAGAATTTTTTTTAGTTGTATTGAACAACGCTCTCCTAATGGAATTAAAGCTAATGGAATAATCTAAGTCACCTGCAGAGACCAGACATATTCATGTTTTTATACTTAGGGCAGCCGTTTAGATGGAGACATTTGGGGAAAGAAAATATTTTCATTGATTTCTTAATCTTCATCTGTTTAAACTTCAGAAAAAAGAAACCACCAAGTGTTATCTACATACCTTATAGCTTTAAAAAGTTATTAATGTTTTCATCAGAGGTTTTCCATAAGCTTCATCTTCTTTGAGTCCCACCTCCTCCAACCCTTGAGTGTGGTCAAGTGAGACTTTCTTATACACATAAAAATCACCTTGTCAAGTAAAAGAAAACAGAAAATACAGCCAAGAGCATAATCCTTTCATATCAGGTTTTTAAGAAGCTTGTTAGGGCTTAAGGGAAGGCTTCTTTTCATGAATAATGTATTATGAAAGTCACAGGAGAACAAAAATATATACCCTCATGTGTCACTGGTTGTCCACAGTTATTCTGCCAATCCAGGTGGTTAAAACTGGTGGCTTTCCCCCCCTTAGGTTCTGCAAGTAGAATTGCATTGTCCCCTGTAATCCACTTTCAGAGTATGGTTCAGCAAACTCTCCTGACGGGGAAGTCTTCTACTTTTTATTTTTTTCTCTGATTAACTGTCATTTTTTTATTAACTCTTTTCCTTAACTGTTATGTTTTCTCACAGCATCCCTGTAAATGTCATCTGATGTAAAACTACCCAGGAAAAAAAATATATGCATTCGAAAGTCATTATCATTATTAAAAAATCTAATCTTAAAATATCCCAAATTATCAAGAATTCAGGTGTTTATCTTTATTTTTTTTAGGTGTTTATCTTTATAATAATGTTAAAAATATGAAGGCATGGTTTCCCTTGTCCTTGGAATATTTTATTTGAC